TAAATATATATTAAGGCTCTGCTGTATCCTCAGCCCTGTGCTTGGCGCTCCGGGGGAAATGGAATTGTTAAGGAACTTCTGCTGTCGTTGCAGAGATAAGAGGCATAGGCGTGAAGCTAGTATATTTGACAGTACAAGCAAGTACTTAATCGGACTCGAGATTAAGCGGTACACATTGTACGTTTTAGCGGAAATCCAGAGAAGGAAGAGAACTGAGTCGGGCAGAGTTGGTCAAGGAAAGCTTTTCTAAGCTGGGGCCAAGGCTATAAGACCGGGTAGAAATGGGGGTCATAAGAGTGAGTCCCAATTTTGCTACTGACTAGCTGTGTGACCTTGGGAAAGTCCCATCCCTACTTTGGGGCTCAGTGCCTTACTCTGTAAAATGAATTGGACAAACTAGAAATAGCTCCAGGGTCCATCCTGTCTATTTCTTAGACCTGTGGATCTCTGTGGTCCTTGTACAGGCTTTGTACCTTTGGTAAGCTTGCTTGGAAAGTCTTCATTGCCCTTGGGTTCTGCAGCTCCAGATGGTAACTGTGGAGATGGGGAGAGGCCCTTTGGAATCATGGGGCCAAGCCCACGGAGCTAGAGGAGTATGCTGACTCCAGCAAGCTGGTGCTCCAAGCATGCCAGTGACTCGACATCTAGCTGTTTGCAAACATAACCATATTTTATCTTTATATTGTGCCTGGGCTCCCAGAGGAGCCAGGGCCTTTTACCAGGGCTAGATTTACAATAATCACTTCATTCTGCCCCTCTGGGGTAGGAACTGGCAAATGATGGATTGCTGAACAGCCTAAATTCCCGCTTAGGAAACTAGGGGCTGGAGGTATGTGTCGGGGGTGGGGGTGCGGCTGCAGAGGGAGGGGTGGCTCAGAACTGCAGCTAATTATCAAACTTTTTTCCCCCTAATGTGAAAGCCTGCAAGGGAAGATTGGGATGGCAGCTTCAGGCTTATTCTTGGCTACCTCCTTTTACTGAGCTTCAGTTGAGTTTCCTGAGGTCAGAGAAGGGACAGCCTGTGTGTGTGTGTGTGTGTGTGTGTGTGTTGTGTTTTCTTTGTGTCTTACAAAGTGCTCCAGCCTGTGTGTGTGTGTGTGTGTTTTTTGTGTCTTACAAAGTGCTCCAGCATACACTACTTAAGGCTTCGGGTTTCCGCAATTTAATCAGTCCTAACCACCCCCTGGTGCCTTTGCTTGCTGTCTGTTCAGTGTGGCAGGTTCAGATTTAGAGCCACGGACATACTGTGACCTCGTGCACTTTCAATAGAGCAAAGTTGGTCAAGAGCAAAGATTTCTCTTTTTCAGCTCAGGGTAGCTTGCCCCTCCTGTAATTCAGGCCAACCATTGAGCATAGGCCCAACCTTGGCTGTTAGGACTCAGAACTGGAAATATTTTAGAGTTCATTTATTCTCTTCCTCTCCCTGCTGTGTTATAGTTAGAGAAACTGAGGCCCAGAGAGCCCCTGAGGTCACAGGGTAGTGAATGGCAGAGCTAGGATTGGAGTTCTGGTTCCCTGTCTGGTCCTCTTGCCAGGAGTTAGCCAAGAAGAGGTGGTAGAGGGGGCTACCCACTCTATGGGGATTCACAAGCTTGTATCCTTAGAGCTGGAGGAAGGGATCTCAGAGGTCACAGAGCCCAACTCCTTCATTTCACAGATGAGGAAACTGAGGCCCGCAGAGGTTGAGTACATTGCCCAGAGTCACACAGGAGAGCCAGGATTTGATCTCAGGGCTCCTCAGACTGCAAATCTAGCTTCCTTTTGACTGGACCATGCTTCCTTTAGCTGACTACTTCCTTTCCCTATGCCATCAATCCTAGATCATCCTCAGTAATTGAAGGGAATCCAAGAATGAGTAATTCTCCAAACAGAAGGTAAATCCCAACACCATTTTAGTTGGCTTTAGTTGAGTCCTCTGACTTTTGAGCCAGTGCTGTCTCCATTACCAGGCCATGTGAATTTGTTTTCTGTCCTTAACAACAACAATAAAAAAAAAAAGCAACAAACATTTATTAAGTAATGTGGCACAGATGGAGCACTGGAACCAGGAAGACCTAGATTCAAATCCTACCCGTGTGACCTTGGGCAGGCCACTGATCCTCTCTCTGGGCTTCCTTTTTGGACTCAGTGTCCCCTAAGGTCCCTTCTAGCTCTTAATCTGTGATCCCTGTGATCAGTTTTCTGCCCTCCATGATGTGCATCAACACTTTCACAGCTTAGTCTATTTTTATAAACCTCTGCCATCTTGCCCTGCCAAGGAATGGATGGTCTTATAACAGGATGAGACACATAGAGATAATGGACAATATTATCTGATCGGTGCATTAGAGAGAAAAGGTCCACAAGAAGCTGGAGAGTGAAGGTTTTTACCAACTTGTAAGGTTGGCTCCTTGAAGTAGAAGACATTTCAGTCACAGACTTTAAAGGGCCCCCCAGACAGGCAAAGTAAGAAGAGAGGAGCCAGTCTAAACTTAATGTAAGCAAAGGCAAGGAGGCAAGAGATGAAGAGCAGTCGATCTTCAGAAATAACATCACTGGAAAACCTTTCTAGGACCAAGTGTGGTCCTTTGACTGAATCCAGATTTAATGTTCTGTGACGTTTGGATTCAATTAAAGGAGAAATAAAAGAAATAAAGGAGAGAAGGAAAAGAGTAATTGGTGCAAAGTTGGATTGGCACAGAAAGCTATTGGGCATTTCACATTTTGTTTTCTGGAAATGAAGGGTGGGAAGCAACAATGTCTGGAGTCCATAGAAACCCAGCTCTGGAAAGAACTGATTGGGCTTCCAACTGCCTTGGAGGTAGGGGTTACTTAAGAAAAGATAAGAGATGCTGCAGTTCCATGTACCTGGAGTTTTCTTAGGAGCTCTGGGTGGTGCCTGTGTCCCCAAGGCAGCAGGTTGGGTGTGCCCTAGGACCCTAAGGCTCAGCTGGGAGGGGGAGGAGGAGCCCTCCGTGCTTTAGACTGGAGAATATGCAGGCCAGCTGGACAAGGGCACTGAGTGTTCCCTGCTCCCCTCCTGCTGGCTTGGTCTTATGTGTGTGCTCACACCCTAGCCTGTACTTAGCGAAACCTAACCCAGATTCCCATCTCCTCCTTCTCAAATGTTCCTGGAGCATTTTGTTGGGATCTCTCCTGTGTCACTGTCGTTCTCTACCTTGTGTAATTCCAGTTTTATACATGTTTATACGATTTATACAAAAAGTTTAAACATTGTTATATGATACTTTTTATACATGTTGTGTCCTCTTTGGGAGGATACAAGTTCCTTGAGGTCAGCTGCTGTGTTATTTTTCACGTTTTCATCCCTAGCACATAGTATAGTGCCTTGTGCAATGTATTCACTTAATAAATGTTTGTTGAATTGCAATGTCTTCTCTCTGAGGAGCCATCCATTCCCATTCTCAGGCTTGGCGGTAGGAGACAAGATGTAAGGCACTAGACTATATGAATGGCCCTTTTGATCACTTTTCTAAATTATTTTCTTCTTTTCCCCTTCCAACCTGCCTCATTTGTCCACGGATCCATTTGTCATTCTGCCTGATCATGGCTGCTAGCTATAAGCAGCTGAGGCCCCAGGTAACCAGAGAAGATGTAGGTGGAAAGGGTGATATGCAGTGTGATGGAGTCCAGGACCCAGGATAGAGGAGGCTGAGCAGGTTAGGTATGGTGGGGGATGGGTGGCAAAATGCCCCAGGCTCAGTGTTTTCTCCTGCATAGGTAACCCAACACTGAAGGTGGGTGCAGGCCCTTGGAGTGGGGGCAGTGACTCAAAGCAAACACAAGGAATTCCCTTCTGTAGGGCAGACGCTCCAAGCTACAGGTAGAGTACTGTGGGCACCATTAAGGCGCCACCGCAGAGCCCCACCCAGCTGGTTCCTTCCCATTAAACCCAACCTGTGTGGGTGGTTCATCTTATCTGGCAAGATCCTTAAGTACTCTGTCCTCTTAGCTTGATGCCCTGTCCCTGTCTTTCTTTGAAGCATCTTCTCAAAGGGAAGTTTACCCAGGCATTTGATGTTCATAGGTTCACAAATTTAAAAGTAGAAGGGATCTTAGAACCCTAGTTCAGTCTCCTCACTTCGTAGTTAAGGAAATTGATGTCGGGGAAGATTTACCCAAAGTCACACATACTTCACAGAACCTGGATTTGAACACAGGTTCTCTCTGACTCCAGATCCAATTCTCTTTCCCCATGATATGTTTTCCTTCTCTGACTGATCGTTTTTCTTGTACCTTTCACTCTGAATTGTCTACATTATTTGAAGGAAGCCCAAACGTGAGTAATCCAAAACAATAAATAATTCCAAAAATCATTTTAGTTGGCATCGGATACAGTGTGTGGTCATGGAAAGAATATTGGGCTGAGAGTCAGTAGACTTGTTGTGTTTGGGTGCCAGCTTGGCCTTTCACTTGCTGTCGTCTGACCTCGGGTGAATTACATCAGCTCTCTCAGCATCAGATTCTTCCTCTGGAAAATGATAGGTTGGACAGGATGCCCTCTAATAGCACTTCCTGTTCTAACCTCATGGGATATTCAAGCTATGTTCTTCTCCCATCTCCTGTAGCTGTGAACTTGTGAGTAGTTCTGGTCTAATATTAAAATGAATGGATAGTGCATGTCATCTGACAGTGTGGGGATGTGTGTTCAGAGATTAAAGAAATGACATCCAGGGCTTTAAAATTAAAAAAAAAGTAAATGTGGATAATCCATGCATTGTATGATTGAGAGTTGACCACACCTGTACAGTTTTTTTCTAGAAGGCTCTCCTTTTCCCGTTTCTTCAGTAGAAAACCCCACTGAGAAAATGGCTGATGGAGCCTTCCATTTTGTACCTAGAACCCAAGGTTCCAGTACGCAGCCCTTAGGCCATGACACACTTGTTAGCTAGGAGTTTGGTGTGAAGGACTTGAGGGAACAGCATCTCTTTCCCATATTTCCTGTGTCATCCATGGGTGCCATGGAATCTGTAGCTCACATCCATCCTCCTCTTTTCTAGCTGTGCAAGAGGAGAGGCAGAGGGGCAAAGATCGGAATGAGAACGAGGTGGAGTCAACCAGCAGCGCTAACGAGGACATGCCGGTGGAAAAGATTTTGGAAGCTGAACTTGCCGTGGAGCCAAAGACAGAGACATACATTGAGGCAAACATGGGACTAAATCCCAATTCAGTGAGTAAATGGAAAAAAGAAACTTGTAATAGCATCAGTCAAGAGTAGACAGCTTCTCAGAAACCCCTCCTTCACTCCCAGTTCTTTTCCAGACTCAATGTGTTGATGAGTATTTGGACATTTTACAGCAAAATCTGAATAGATCATAGTGAAGGCACGAGTACCTACCTCAACTTGATGGGCTCTTGCCCATCAGAATTATACCCTCTCAAATGATATAATTTATTGAATGAGGTACTGGATGTTAAATACTTGTAAGCAATCATAAATCACTACATAAATTGTTTGTTGTTACTATCTTTATTTATTATTATTGCAAATATTATTATTGATCAAGGGGGTGTTATTAGCTGGATGACCATGGATAAGCCACTCACCTCTTCCACATCTGTATGATGTAGGATAATGGTATTTGTGCTGCTCTCATGGTCTGCCATATTCCCTGCCCCCTTCTTCCTCCCTGGTGACTGTGAGGGAAATGTTTCTGTAAACTTTAAAGCATAATGTAAGTGTGAGTTGTTATTATAGTTAATTCTTTGTTTACTATCCAGGTGTCTTGGAGTTTGTGTGGTTAATGACAATATCCAGAATAAAAATCTTTTTTCTCCCTCCAGAGACTATATTGATCTGGGCATTGCAAAGGACAGTTTAAAGAGACCTTTCTAGAAGCTTATACCAAGCGAGAAAAAAGCATGACAGAATGGAAAAAAAAAGCACAGCTCTTGGAGACCTGGATTTGAATTTCAGATCATTATCCCTTTTAGCAAATTCGTGGAGGTACCATTAATACAATAGAAAGAACACTGACCTTCCACTTTTGACACATTTCTTCTGTGACAGTGACCGAGTCACTTAATCGTCATGAACCTCAGTTTCCTCATTTTCCTCATGAGGGTGTTAGAGTAGATGGCCTCTGAATTCTTTCTAGCTCTTGATCTATGAAACTTTTCTGGTCCTCAGTCTTTTCATCTGTAGAAAATTATTTCTGCCCTACCTGTCTCAAAGAAATGTTGTGAAGATCCAGTAAGAAAAGGGACAAGAATATGTTTCATAAACTGTCAAGCAGAAGGTGTGTGTGTGTGTGTGTGTGTGTGTGTGTGTGTGTGTTTGTAGATTCAAGTCTGTGCTTTTCACATCCCCCTTAATTCTAGTCCCTTCCTTCTATTAATTTTCTTCTTTTCATCCTGTCTTGTATCTTTTTTGTAGAAGTTGTTTGCATATTGTTGTCTCCATTAGAACCTGAGAACCTTGAGAACAGGGACTGTTTTTTGTGGTTGCTGTTGCTGCTATTTTTTTAAAAAATTTTTGTTTTTCCTTACTTTATATCCCCAACACTTAGCGCATAGTAGGTACTTAATAATTAAGATGCTTGTTGATTGACTGTCTACACACACACAGTGTGCATGTATATAGATGTGTGTGTGTGTGTGTGTGTGTATTTATATATGTCCATATAAGTATTTGTATTCATTAGGTCAGGTACTTTTATGACATGAATGACTATATAAATGGTTTGCAGGCAGTGATAGTGCCCAAATTTTTATTATGTCTAGAATAAGGGGACATGTAGACCCACATAGTAGAGCTTCCTGGCTGGACAACAGCAGAAGTGTCTCAGCACAGAAGAGAAGAATTCCTACTGCCTCCCAGTGATGATGATTGAATTAGATTACATCTTTTTTTATCTCTGCATTGTGCTATCTCATCTTCTTTTCTGATCCCACTGGAGTGAACGGGACCAGCTTTTATTCCCATTTAATAGCTAGAATAACTGAGCCATCAGGAAATTGAGTAATTTGTCCCCAGTCACACTGTAACACTGTAGGACTCCTGTATTTTGATCCAGGCTCAGACCCAGGTCTTATGTATACAAAATACTACCAACCTTCATGTAAGAAAATAGCACCACTAGTAATAATAACCACAGCTGACCATCAGTTCAACACTTTATATGCATTTACCCAGTAGGACACTATATCTGAGTTACGTCTCAAGTTGTGGGACTAGGTTTCCATCTAAACACTGGTCTCATCTTTGACCATCCTTTCTAAGAAGATGAGCCAAGCTTAAAAGTTTAACCCATAGCTGGGAATAAGGGGACAGCTTCCATAATGAATAAAGGGGCAATTTATGTTTGCTTTAAGGTTTAGCCTGTGGCCAGGGTTGGACCAAAGTTACAGTTCTTTCTATAGTTGGGTTAGGGTTCAGTCTGTAGTGGGATTAGGGCTCATTCCATTTGTGGCTAGGGTCAGGGGTCAGGGTTTAGCCTTTGGTTGGGGTCACTTTGGTGTCAAGATTAGGGTTCAGGCTGTCTCTGACATCAAGGCTCAGACTGTGGCCAGGATTTGGACTCTTTTAGATGCCCATAGTATATATTTAGGATCTGTTAGGTGCCCATAAACTATTATATTATATTTAGGCTATGTTAGGTGCGCAATGTAACTGTATTATTAGGAATTCTTAACCTGAGGATCCTTGAACTTGTTTGAATATTTGATAACCATATTTCAATATCATTGGTTTCCTTTATAATCCTATGTACCTTATGCATTTAGAAACATTATTCTGAGAAGGGGTCCACAGGCTTTACTAGATTGCCAAAGTGGGTCCATGACACAAAAAAGGTAGAGCATCTTTGGACTGGAGTAAAGCTAAATAATCCCACCAAGATTAAACTGATTGCCTCGGCTTCTTTAATAGAGTGCTCTAACCAGCATGCAAGCCTATCATGTGCACATGGCCTTGTTTCAAGAGCTGTATGTGGAGGTAGTGTCTGGGCTATGGAGGAGAGAGCCGAGTTTGTGGCTTTGGAGCCATTCGTTGGGTTCTAAATCCAAGATCCAAAAATCCAGCCTCTCTAGGATTGGACTTTGGGGTCCAGCCTAGCTAGTTCTGCGCAAGCATCTTGCAGTCATGTTTACTCCTCTGTGGAGGGTTATTCTCTGGTGCTTCAGTGAGCTCCCTATAGGGGAGAGAGGCAGAGAGGTGCAGTGATGGGTGAGGGCCCTTTCCATTCAGCCAACATTTATTGAGTGCCTTCTCTGCGCTAGGCACCATTCTGGGTTCTGGCTAGTAGGATGTGGTGACCTCTTGGCTTGAGGGAAGTTGTTAGGAGCCTTGTGCTGAGTTGAAAACAAGCCTCAGAGAGGGGGCAGGAATAAATGACTTTATCTTACACATCATCTCCTCCTGTCTCTGAGCAAATTGAATGCTGCTTCCTGCATAATTCAACACAGGCTCCTGGGAAGGGGAATGTGTACTGCATTTCAGTCTAGTAAGGGGCCCCTTGAAATGCCCAGGGATGACAGAAGGAATGTGCAGGGAGGCAACTGGACCAGTTGGCCAGAGCAGTAAGTTTGGGGATGGGAGTAGTGGAAGGTCCATTTAAAAGAAGTAATTTCTTCTCTGCTGCTTCAAAGAATAGGACTGAAATAAGCAAATGGAAGTTACAGAGGGGTCAGATTTCGGGTCAGTGTAAGGAAGAACTTTCTAACAGTTAGAATTGTCCATTAGTGACATGGGCCACTTTGGGAGACAGTGAGCTCTCCACCACGGGAGGGGTTGGGGCAGAAACTGCAGGATTGGCTTCCTGCTCAGTCTGCATTAGAAAAGGCAATGGTATTAGAGTCAGAGGAGATATAGGCTGAAATCCTGTCTCTTCTATTTACTACCTGTTTGATTTAGAGCAAGTCACTTAAACTTTCTGGACCTCAATTTCTCCATCTGTAAAATGGGCTGGTTAGATTAAATGACCTTGAACAGTGGTGTCTTCCTCAAATAGGTAATGGGCCAGTAAACCATATATAAGGATCCCTGCTTGCTTCATATTTGATTTAATTTTAAAAATGTAATGTTATCTAGGTTTTATTGTATTTTTATTTATTTTGTTAAATATTTCCCATTTATATTTTAATTTGGCTCATGGGCAGTGTATTTACTATCTCTGGCCTTAAAGTTTTTTTTTTTCAGATTTAAATACTATGATGCTCTTTTTTTTCTTTCCAACTCTAGTTCTAGTACTCTGGGCACTAAAACATGCTCTTGCCATGAGGCTCCCCAGCCTTATTGCTCTCACTTGTCTTTATCCAGTTCTGCTCTAGGGAGGAAGTCTAAATCATTTCTACAGTAGCAGTAGGTGAATGCCGGTGAGCACCATTACCTTCTCTCTAAGCATTTGAAACTTGGTCTTTCTTTGGACAATTCAGAGTTTTACCCCTGGGTTAAGATATCACCATGAAAGGAAAATTCTGCAAGGAAGGAAGGGTCTCAGAGTCTCTACAGTGCTCCAAAGTCACAACTGTGACTGAGTCAAACATCGATGAAGTTAAGACTTGGAGACTGATTGCCTGCTGCCTGAAGAGCTCTTTACCAGATGTGGTATCAGACAGTGAAGCTAGAGAAACCACTGTCCCACACCTCAGGGAGCTTCTGGTCTGGTTGAAGAGAAGGGAATGTAATGGAAGGAAGAAGGTACAGGAAGGAACCAGCCCCCCATGCATAGCTTAGGGCCAGGCTCCACAAAGATCTCATAACTTCATAGAAATCAGAGCATCTCAGAGTTGGCATCCTCAGCAAAGTCGGAAGCCCTACTATGACTTTTCCAGTAAGTGGTTGGTCAGGCTTCCATGTGAAAACTTCCAGCAAAAGAAAATCCTCTGTTAGGAAGTATTTTGATTTCTCTGAATTCCTTCAGGGTTCGAAATCTGTACTAACAGCCTAGCACCTCTTGGGATTCTGTTTCAGCTTGTTCTGTCTCCCTTTCATATGCATTCTTCTCTCATTATATCAATAATACTAAATAATAATAACAATAACAGACATGGTCATAAAATCATGGGGATTTTTGATGAAAGGGAGCTTAGAGATGTGTTGTCTTGTGCTGGTTACTCCCTTTCTCTGGGCTTAGTTTCCTCACCTATAAAAGGAGGTTAGACTTGACTTCCTTAGACTTGACACTGTCCACCTCCCCACCTCCACCATCCCTACCACTGTAGGTGGGA